TGTTTGTTCAAAATGTGAAGCACTAATGGTTCCAGTGGTTATGTCACACTTTAGAAACCAGTCGCATCAGCTGTCGTCATCGTTCTCGATAGTTGCACGTAAGGTTGGCTTCTGCAAGGCCTCTGCTAAACCCCTCATCTCAGGCTCCGCGATAGCACAATGCATAGACTTCTCCGTGATTTTCTCGAAATTTCTTTACAGCATTTTCGATGCGTACGCACGTCTGATTCGATTGCGCTCTAAAACTAACACTGAATGGATGCTGCTACGTTTTGCTCCTGAACGCTGCCTTGGGAACCTAATCATCCAGATACTTTGAAAACACGTCTCACACTAGTGAACTGAAAGTCTTTATGGGAGAAACCAGAGATATCTGAAAATTTTGTTTGCTCAGAGCAATATTGCGAACGGCATCTTCTTCTGTCAAAAAAGGTTTGCATCAGTTTTGGGATCGTACGCTCGACTGTAGCACCTTCCAACATACAAGCATATAATGACTGATGACCAAATACTTCACTGCATTCTCTTGACGACTCTTTTTTTAAAAGAGTAGTTTCGAAAGAAGCACTTAGGTTATTCAGTAAATAGGAACCGGAATAGAAAGTCTCCCCAGAGCAATCAATGGTAAAGAACGAAACTGTATAATAGGATCCCAGATCACCACGGGTAGAATTTGATCTTTGCTTTCCCAGCGGAACGAAATTCTTCCGGCAATGGATTCTTGAAATCCATTTTGATCGGAGGAAACAAAAAGCGTTTAATAGTAAGATCCTGGCGACTCACCAGCTTTGGTGCAGTTCCGTTTCTGAGCATAGTCTTCTCAAACCACGTCTTGCACACAACTTTCATCATTAACACACTCGACAAAAGAATTTCTCTACCTATCAAATCAATGCTAGTGTTCCAGCATAGGCAACTCACGACTTTGACATGTAGTCAATAGGCAATCATATCACCCTCTTAGGCAGCGTTCATACTTCGCGACAGCAGCGGCGATCGCGGCGACCGCGCCCCAACGCTATTACTTGCGCTCCGAAGGCTTTTGGGGGTAAGCGGCTCAATTTCATGCTTTTTTTCTTTAACTGCAATTTCCTTAGGTACTGAAGCTTGGTTTGCAAGGAAAGGTGAACCCAACTTAAAGACACATGGTACGCTCAACACATTGAGGGTGTATGAGACTATCAGCCCCCAGCTGTCGATGTGTCGTGGTCCCCCCGCCCAAAACTGCACGGGGTCAGAGTACGGGGCCGTGGGAAAGTCGTAATTCCTTGCTACACCGCCCGTTTCGCAAACTCACGTTTTTACTAACACCGTCCGCGCGGCGCGTGTCAGCTCTCTTGGCTTTTTGCCAAGTCCTGTAATTGCGCTTTGGAATACAAGTACAACGCAATTTCTTTATGCGGATAACATTTTAGGTGCTGCAAAATAAGAACCGAAGATGATGACGAGGGCTAGAACTCAAGAGCAACTGTGCTGCTTCTGCAATATCCCTCAGAGGCCGCGCATTCCCACAGAACATGACAATAAAAACGGACAACATGACAATAAAACATGACAATACAAGCAAAACGCAATTTCCTAACATTTGAGGTATTGCTCATGCTTCAAAGTCCGAATAGAAGGTGATGAAGATGACAAAGGCTAGAAATGAACAACAACGAATGTAGATGTAAATAAAACAAAATTGAAAAAACTAAGGAAACGCAAATTAATTAAAATCGCGTGTGCATTTCTGCGATCCGGCTCGAATCCGGCTCTTATCCGCATAAAGAAATTGCGTTGTACTTGTATTCCAAAGCGCAATTACAGGACTTGGCAAAAAGCCAGAAGCAGCGACACGCGCAGCGCGGACGGTGTTAGTAAAAACGTGAGTTTGCGAAGCGGGCGGTGTAGCAAGGAATTACGACTTTCCCACGGCCCGTACTCTGACCCCGTGCAGTTTTGGGCGGAGA